ATTGTAAAAGGCAGAAAGAATCTTGTGTAATGTGGAGAAGCCGTGACTGAAGGATATGATTCTGACATAGAAGTGCACCAAACTTTTTATTTCAAAGAAACTGTCAGGAATAGTAGTGGATTTCACTTGAGGAGGAGAAGGATGGAGTTTAGCTTTTTGAGTCATTGGTCTTCAGCCAAGTAAGACTGGGTAAGGCTTAGATCAGAGCCAACAAACTAGCTTCTGATCAAAGGGATCAACAGAGAGCAGTAAGTATCCTTCTTTTACTGCACTACCCTGTAAACAATTTAGGATGAATACTGTCTCCATGGGCACTGACCTGAAAATTTCCAAAACTTTAACTTGGAAGCTATACCTTAAGTTGAACATTCCTGCAAAATACTGAATCCGTTGCTAAAAATGGTTACAATAAAAGTTGTTTAACAGACTGCATTTGTCTGGCCAAGGCAGTAGATCACATAACTGGAACTGGACACGCCCAGCCTAGCTGCTTCCATGTTGCCTATGGTATGGAATGTGGAGCTGGCTGGACTGGACGCAACACTCCCTCTCAACGGCTAAGATCAAGCAATGTCTGCTGCGCTTCCAGGCGTGGTTTGATAGTCTAGTTAAGGAGAGGGAGTTCTGAAGAATATTTAACTATCTCTGCAGAGGAATAGTTGAATATTTGTGAAAAAGCTAGCAGTAACTTGAAACTGAATTCTTTGAACATATCTCCTGGAACGTTGTTCGGGGTTGCATGTCACAAAAGCATCAGACTTTTTCTTTTAAATGTTTGACCTGCATCTGTAATATCAGTAAATTCACGCAAGGCATTGTTTTTTCATAACTATGAGGTTCCCTGCAAAGACCAAAACACTTAAAGGTGGTATTTGCAATGTGGCAAAGATGCTGGAGGAGGAGGTGCCGTGTAAACTATCATCAAATATATGAACAATGATCACAGAATTGCAGAATGGTAGAGGTTGGAAGGGACTTCTAGAGATCATCTAGTCCAGCCCCCGCTGCCAAAGCAGGTTCACCTACAGCAGGTCGCACAGGACTGCATCCAGGCGGGTTTTGAATATCTCCAGGGAAGGAGACTCCACAACCTCCCTGGGCAGCCTGTTCCAGTGCTCTGCCACCCTTAATGTAAAGAAGTTTTTCCTTGTGTTGAGGTGGAACTTCCTGAGCTCTAGTTTGTGCCCCGTTGCCCCTTGTCCTGTCACTGGGCACCACTGAAAAGAGCCTGGCCCCACCCTCTTGACACTTACCCTTTAAATATTTGTAAGTGTTGATAAGATCTATAAGATTTGATTTATAAGATTTATAAGATAACTGTGATTTATGTGATTTATAACTGGGAAAATGAAAAAAAGTGCAAACTGCACCATTAGTGCTTTGAATGCTGGTCAAGTGACTTGAAATTAATTTTGGTTTAAATATCCTTTTTTTTTTTTTAATAGAATCAATCTTTCATGAATGTTTCTTGTATTTCAGTAATCACCTAGGGAAGAGTCTGCAGCTGCTGATGGACAGAGTGGACGAAATGAGCCAAGACATTGTTAAATACAATACTTACCTGAGGAATGTAAGCAAACAGCAGCAGCAGAAGCACCAGGTTGGTAACATGGAAAACCTGAATGAGAGGATTTTTTTCCACAAAATACAGTTTGAGTGGTGTTATCCAAGACAGATGAATTTGGATCTAAGCAAGATAAAATTCTTATAGAAACATATCCATTAAGTAGATTTATAAAATGTGCTAGTCAGTGGGGAATTATCCAATGGATTAACTTCTGCTGACATGTAGTGTGGATTGGTCTTTCTTTGTTATTTTACATGTTTGTTAGTGGTATATGATAAACCAAAGTCGTTGATAAATGTGCCGGGGACACAGGGATTAGTGGTTTAGTCAATGAAATGAAAGAGCTGAAACTACAAGTGAATTGTTCCAAAACAAACCGTCTTTTAATATCATCACATGTAGTCATGCATCTAGAAGTAAAGAAATGTAGTCCATATTTAAAAGACAGCAGACTGTTCTCTGATCAGAAATGACATTTTAGTCGTGTTTGTATCAGTAGGTAGTGATACTGATCAGGTGATTGCTGACTTTTAATTCCTGATGCCAAAAGGCCTCTTTAGAATCCAAAATAGTCCGATTAGAGAATACTGAGTGTGGAGACCACCTCTAAGTGGCCCTGTTTGAGCAGAGGGGTGTTGGACAAGGTGTGACATCCAGAGATCCCTTCCAACATCAACTGTTCTGTGATTTGGAGACGATATTACTTTATTTGCTGTTGCTGCACTTTATAAAGCAATACTGTGTCTAATTATAATAATATATAAGGTGATTCTCCCCCTCTGCTCTGGTCAGACCCCACCTGCAGTACTGCGTCCAGCTCTGGAGCCCTCAATACAAGAAGCGTGTGGACCTGTTGGAGCGGGTCCAGAGGAGGGCCATAAAAATGATCAGGGGGCTGGGGCACCTCTCCTATGAGGACAGGCTGAGAGAGTTGGGGTGGTTCAGCCTGGAAAAGAGAAGGCTCTGGGGAGACCTTATAGAGGCCTTCCAGTGCTTAAAGGGGGCCTACAGGAAAGGTGGGGAATGACTGTTCACAAGGGCACAGAGCGATAGAACAAGGGACAATGGTTTTAAACTAAAAATGGGTAGATTTAGATTGGATATTAGGAAGAAGTTCTTTACCTTAAGGGTGGTAAAGCACTGGAACAGTTTGTCCAGAGAGGTGGTGGAGGCCCCATCCCTGGAGACTTTCAAGATCAAACTTGATGGGCTCTGGGCAACCTGATCTAGCTAAAGATGTCCTTGCTCACTGCAGGGGTGTTGGACTAGATGACCTTTGGTGGTCCCTTCCAGCCCAATGCATTCTATGATTCTATTCTATGTTTCTAGTTACGGAAGAATGCTCGTAAATTGGAAAAAAGCACTATGAGAATGATTTAGAAATCAGATCCTAGAGAATGCAATTCACTTCACATGATAAATTAAGTTAACGACTGACTTGCTTACTCAGGAAGTACCTGCATGAAAAATAAATTTGAACTCTTTAATCTAGCAGACAGAGATATGACAAAATTCAATATCAACCATCTGAAAATGGGCCAGGCCACTTTAAAGATAAAATATTGCAGGTATTGCTACACAAAGTAGCTAATTATTAAAAAAAGCACCTGTGGTTCATGTGAAATGCTTCATCACTGACTATTTTAAAATGAAAATTGGCTTTTTTTCACACTAAAGTGTAGCTTGAACAGGGAGTACTTTAAGGAAGCAGCACATGATCAGTGGTCTCTCCTGGCTTTGGATTCCTGAGGACATAGAAGCTTCATGCATGATATCTTCAGAAAATTTATTTTCCTTTGCTGCCTAATTTGAATAGAAAGATGGCATCCACTTCAAAGGTTTTTGTTAATAACAAGGGGATCTATTTATTTTGAAAAGCAGAGCAAAATAGGTTCTGTGGTGTCTCACTTCTTTTCTTTACTAACTATAGCTGCTTTAGTAGTGGCTCATTGCAGCATAGTTAGTGGTCTTAACTTCATTTTTAAAATGGAGCAATTGTGATTAAGAACAAGCCGTTTCAATAGAGAATAATAGGCAGACTGCTGAGAAGTGAATGGGGTAATGCAAAGAAAGAAGAAACTACGTGCAATTCACATACAAATATGGGCATTTAGGATTTTATTTTTAACATTATCCGAAAACATGTATTTGTCACTACTACTGGAAAAAAAATTACTTCATTTGAGTATGCCACCAAGTATGAAGTGTTTTCAGACTCTTATGCACAGATACATTTAAGTAAGTGAGAGAAAACACCCTGTACTCTTTGGCCTGTTTATTTTAAAGATTTCATCTTTTTTTTTGGTGTTGAATATGAGGGCTTCGATAGACAAACCTTACTATTAATTTCTGGCTGTGACATGCAGTATGAAATCTCACATAACGTGTATTTGACTGTACGTACTTCTGCAAGAACAAATGTTTACCCAATAGCTGAAGAAATGGTCTGCCATAACTTTTTATAAAGTTTGAGTAATCTACATGGCAAAGGGAAGCTCTGAAAACAGATTTTTTTTTTTTTTTTTTTTAATAGCAGAATAATTTCTGTAGTCTGCTACTCCAGTATATCCTCTGGTAACCCGCAAAGAAGAGGCATCAAAGTGGCAGAATATTTAAATAATTAAAATGGAGAAGTGAACCGTTATGCTTTGTTTCAGCCACCACTTTGTTCTCAGCTTAGAGTTATTTTTTTTTTGCTTAAACTACCATGTTTAATCAAGTTCTCTTCCCCTTTCACATTAATATTGTTTTGACCTTTAACTTGCACAAAACTGAGTATTTCTGATTTGTATAACTATTTGAGGTAACGGCTTCTCATACCTACGTATTCCAACCTTGCTTTCCTCTTTTTTGCATGGGAAAAAAAGAGGCTTTATCTACCGTGCTGTATTCTTTTCATCAGATACAGTATTTATCTCTAGGAAGAAATTTTAAAAATTACCCCACCACCATAGTACCCCATAATTTTCCAGTGTCTCACTTATTTAAGGTGCCAACTTAGGGAGAGAAATGCTTGTTACCACTGAATTGAAATAAACAGTGAATTGCATTTGCATTATTTGAAATAAACTGAATTGCATTGAATAAGTATAATTTTAAAAATATATTTGCTGGCTAGGTAAAGAGCATCTGAAAAGAAAAGCGTTTTGCTGCTTTGGAAGTCCTGTTGCATTCTCCTTCTGTTGCTTTATTTTCAGTACCAGCAGAGACGTCAGCAAGAAAATATACAGCGTCAAAGCCGAGGAGAAGCCCCTCTTCCTGAGGAGGACATCAACAAACTTTTTAAACCACCACAGCCTCCTCCAAGAATGGAGTCTCTCCTCATTGCAGGTAGTGTTCTAGCAGCCTCTTCAACTCGTCTTTTCGTATACGAATGTTAGCTTGGGTGGAAGTGCAGTTGTTACCTTAGAAAGTGTCTTTAATTTTTCATATCTTTTCCGTTATGATGTGATATTTTGACATTGGTAATATTCCAAATACTGTCCTTCATTTGGTTCAAGGCAGTGGTTTCAACCTGTGATCTACAGCCTTAGTGTCTGAAGTATTTAAAAAAAAATCAAAAAGTAGCTAAGAAAAACCACCTTATTGCTAGTAGGCAGTCCATGCTTCTGTTAGAAAGTAAGCTTCCACACGTAGAAGAACTTTAAACCATCTAGGTAAGTGACAGAGGCATGTTACCCATGCAGATGTGAATGTTTCTAATTTTTCGAAAGCGAGCCACTGTGTTTAACCAGAACGGCTACATAAAGCTTTAAACTTGATGTATGGAGGCTTTCTCCCCCTATTTCTTATTTTGCTGTGGTACCTAGCTTCCGTTTGACCATCTGCACCTCCTGGGTTGATGGGAAAGGTCAGAAGCGGCAGCCAGAGCCTCTTCCTGGCTCCATTCCGAGAGGGTTAAATGGGATTTTAAAGGAGGGCTGGAGAAATGCCCCATGGAGCAGGCTTTCTGCACGAGTGGGTGTAGTGACTACTGCAGTCAGTAAGCTGCTCCCTGCACTCTTACCCCATCCAGCTCCTCCCTCAACTCCAGAACTTAGTTAGGGGGCTATGCAGACAAGAGGCAGGAATAAGTTCTTTGGGCTGGAACTGTTGATTCAGAGCAGCGCAGTTGTCTGCAGCCCTGAGTTACTGATAACATCCCTAGGTGTTGAACTGGCTGTTGCAGCAGCTAAGATTTTTACTTTTAATTTCACACAAAAGTGGGGTAATTTCTTTGATTTCTGTGGCCAGTGTTTAGGGAAACTATCCTCATCTTCCTGCACCCCAAGGTGAATGAAAATGTAAACAGGATCAAAGCATAGGTATAGGTCCCACCTCCCCAATTTTTTCAGTTTGCTGGTCTGCTGCAGTACATAGCCACACTTTGATACCAAAGTCAGTGCCTGCCCTGTGCCTCCTGGAAGAGTAAGAAAATATTTGGGACCTCACAATGGCAACAGTGAGCAAAAAACCTAGATGCCCTGCTAAGTAATCTAAATTTGGAAACTGTCATGAGAAAGCAAATTGTTGAACTATAGCAGCAGGATTTTTGGATCAGTTAGCTATCACCTAGTTTTGTACTGAGAGAAAATGAAACCAAAGTCCTGGTAATTTAGTGTACCGAAAAGAGCGCTTTGACATTTAAAAAAAAAAAGTTAATTTGAACTACCACTTCTAGATTATTGTTTTAATACTAGTACTGTTTCACACTGCTAGTAAGTGCTGCTTTTAGAAGAAATAATGTTCTTGGTTTATTATTCCTTCCAGGGTCTTTAAAAACCCAACCACCTATTGTTTTGGTAGTCTTTACCTGTCAATGAATCCAAGCAGCATTAAAGTATTTAACATTCAGCTTTAGCGTAGCTTAAAAATGAAACTGAAGTGTGTATGTGTGTTTTATGAAAGTGATGGCTTAGGATGAATCATCTTTTATAAGAGGAGGAATTGAAAACTGTTAAAGGAAAAAACACTTTTCAGCCAAAGCACTTTCTTTGTTTCATCTTTTACTGTAGTCAGGGGAAGAATTGAAAGCATCCACTTCAACTTAGATAAAGTAAAGTTTGTGGATAAAATAGTAAAACTTAGCTCTTCTGTCTCTAAGGCATTAAAAAACTTTTCAAATAGAGCATCAAATCAAGAGTTTATTTGCCTTCGAAACAGTCTTAATTTTGATTAAACTGGCTTTGTGTTTTGCTATTCCTAGCTAACAAGGGAATTAACTTGTGGAAGTATGTATATAAAAATGTTTTGGTGGGCATGTTTGATTTGTAAAGCACTGACAAGGCTTCATACCCTGATGATTTTTGAAATAGCTAATAAAGTGAAATATTATGTGGAAAAAAAAGGCAAGCAAAGTGTCAAACAGGAGTACCACGACTTTCAGTCTGCTGCTGAAAAATATTTATTACAAATATTTTAGTAGGGACAACAGATGCACAAGAACAGAACTGAAATTCAGTCTTGTAGTATTTTTAGAGCAACTAAATTGAACAATTAATGTGATTAAGATTCCAATACAGCAGCAAGAATTGTTTATTCTTCTTATTGTCACATGTCTTTTCAGAAATGGTACGTGATAGAATTGTAGGATAAAAAGAATTGTAGGATAATTAAGAGGTTTTTGAGCATACCAGTTTACCTGTTTTGCTAATTTAATTTCTTCTTACCAAACCTATTTTGGAATGCTGGAACTGTAAAATTCCTAAGTGTGGAGTAGTTGAGATGTTTTGGTCGCTTCTCTAAATCCTGAATGATTCATGCACATTTGGCTTTTTAAAAATGATGTTCTAGGATGTCTTTCTGAATTTCAAAACTGACAAGGGTTTACTCTTCTTTCCTATTGACAGGTCAAATTAATACCTACTGCCAGAATATTAAGGAGTTCAATGCACAGAACCTGGGCAAACTTTTCATGGCTCAGGCTCTCCAAGATTACAACAACTGAAGAAACTTTGCTGTCGCCCTCAACAGTTCTATACTGTTCATGATCCTCTTGAAAATTTAGTGTATTGGGAAAAGTTGTGTAAAACAGAGTCACCTTGGTTTGTGTAGAATTCTCCTGTAAGAAAAATAAAGGCAAATTTTAATGATATTTTAGTATTTCCTTATTTGTTGGCCGTATTGGACTGGAATTTTCTGTGGTCACTCAGGTTTTCTAAATGTTTGGCAGTTATTCATGTTTAGTCATAGCAAATAATAAAGGTTTTATTTAACTTGGAATCTGAAGTAAAACCAAATTATTACGAATGTTCAGTATAGCTGACTTCACAGAAGAAATTTTAGATTTCCCAGTTTCGGTAGAGAACTTGCAACCATAATGTGCTAGTCACTTGGAGCAGTTGCTTGTTTTTATTTTAATCTGTTTGGACAGCCTGGTGCGGTGAACCTTCCGTATCACAAATATTTCATAGGCTCCACATTGGGACGTACAAAACTAGTGTTATGTGGCGACTGATCCCCACCATATCGTGCTAAGCTGTGTTCCCGTTTCTTGTTGCTGCCACCAACTGGATTGAAATCCATTGACGCTACTGAAGTCTTCATGACAGAAGCCATAGAAGTAGCTAACCTGGAGCAGCTAGTGTGGTGTAGATGAACACCATACCTACTGTGCATTAACTTTGCTGTCTGGATGTGCCTTTATTCCTAAACCCGTGCTACTTATCTTTTTAACAAGATTGTTACTTTAAAAGTTTAGTATGTGGCAACTCACATGTTACTGTCATTGATTTTTTTTTTTTTCTTGAGTTGTTTCCTGCATGTCACTGTGTGATGAGTTCTGAGACCATAAAATGGCTGAAGGTGTGCGGTTTGGTCTTTTAAAATAAACATGGACCTAGCATGGAGTATTTCAGCCTCTAAGGTGAATGTTTTGGAAAGTCAGCAGTGTGTGAAAATGGGGTTAGACTAAGAACTTGTTCTTTTGCAGTCTAAACTAAAGTGATTGCAGTATTTATGTAAATATGAATGCAGATTTTTTCAGCCTTCACATACCCAGCAAACTGCCAGTCTGATCTTTTGCCTTGGAAATTTTGGGCACCTTTGTGTTAGCTTTCATGCAGTGAACTTCTCTAAGTCAAAGATTAGTTAAGTATCCTGCTACAGTGCCACGTGACTGAGTTTCACTTCCCATACAAATAATATTCAAACTATGTTAATTTTCTAGTTTTCTGAAGGACCAAAATAACCACCAGGGAACAGAAGTAGGAGCAGACAATTAAACTAAGATGAGACATTTGAGATAGGGAAAATAACCAATCCTCTGGATAACTGGGAATAGAAGACTGACTCTGTAGTGACTGTGCATAGAAGGAAGCAGCAGTAACATATATGCTAGAAGGTCTGCAAAGGAGGTGTTAGCAAAACAAATACTTGGAATAGGTTAAAAACAAGCTGTGTGGTTGGAATTAGTTCTTTGAGATTGAGGATGTAAATTCGAGAAAGAGGGCAGAAATATTGAGTGTGCTGGAATTTAATAAGATTAGTGAATTTTATGTAGCTAGGTCAAGTGTGCTAAACGTCACAGTCCGTGAAGAAATATGGAAGACTTCAGTAGAGATTTGTGGCTTCTGAAGTTATGGATCAGAGTCAGATAGGGGAATGAGATACAAAAGTAGGTGAGGTGTAAGGAGACTTTGGAGATTATTTGACTATTCTGCTCCGAATCACACTTGGTCTTCTGTCATGGTGGAAATCATTAGAGGAAGCCTTCCTGAGCGTGGGAGGTGTGGAGTCAGTTGAAGCTGTTGGTCGATAAATGAGAATCAGTAGCTGTGGAGATTAGGAATTAAAAGGCATGGGGCTGTGTCTCCGTGCTGGGTTCGGTGTGAGCTTTCCCCACTATCTGTATTCCTGGAACTTTGATTTTACATGTTCTCCTCCTAATGCGAGTGAGCTGCCAGCTCATTCACCATAAGATATGTCCTTTCAATTTCTAATTACCATAGCACTGCTTATTTTTTTTTCTTCTTCCTTGGCTGTGAAAGGCTTTTCTGTATACTAATAAAAATGTAGTGACATTAGAGTCTTTAAAAATCACCTCTAAAGAAGTTAGAATCACAGAATTGTAGAATACCGGGTTGGAAGGGACTTCAAGGATCGTCTGGTCCAACCTTTCTTGGCAAAAGCATGATCTAGACAAGATGACCCGGCACCATGTCCCATTTGTATCTTAAAAGTGCCCAACGTTGGGGAATCCACCACTTCCCTGGAGAGATTATTCCAATAGCTGGAAAAATTGTCCTTCTGTCCAATCGGAATCTCCCCAGGAGTAACTTGTACCCGTTACCCCTTGTCTTTCCCATGTGACTCCTTGTAAAAAGGGAGTCTCTACCTCCTTTGTAGCCACCCTTTAGATACTGGAACATGGTGACCCCTAAGGTCTCCCCTAAGCTTTCTTCTCCCCAAG